ATTAATTTTTGTTGACTATTTTTACTTAAAAAATTTTAATTATTATTTATTTATTACATAAAATTATAAGGTTAAACTCAATATAAAAATTAAGCTAGGACAAACAAATTCAATATCACAGAGAGTAACAAATAAAAAAAATTAACATTTATTATTTAATAATTAAAATCACATTCTAAATATCATTACTAACTGTTAAAAAATACTTTAAATAAATAAAAATACAATTAAGACATGTGATTTTAAGGAAATCACGATGGTAGTAACCCAGCAGCCTGTTTATCTCCAAAATGGTTTTGAGAGGTGGCATTTTTGTAATTCTGTTTGTTCTAAGGGCATTTTGGTTTTGAAAACCCAACGTGTGATACAGTTGCGACAGTGAATTTTGCTGTCACGTGGTAGCATTTCTATAATATTTGCAACTTGATGGCTTGTTTAGCTTTTGGAGATGATATAGGGCTATTTTGGTTTAGTTTGTGAGAATTTTTATTAAAAGGAAAATTTAAAAATTATTTTTAAAAATTAAAAAAAATGAGTGAAAAATAAATAAAAAATTTAAATTTAAAGTTTTTAAATTTTTATTGGTTAAGGTTTTTTTAAAATTAAAAAAAAAATTTAAAAATATAAGTTTAACAAAAATAAATTTATAAAATATGAATAATATTAAAAAGTTGAAACTTTTAAAAGCTCACCAAGCATGCATATAGTATTGCTGCCGTTTGATCAGTTTGCCTGTTCAGCATAACTTTCGCAATATTTTTATGTTTTTGTATTTTTAACAGAGGCTATTTTTTGCAAATATTCTTAGCATATTACAAGAGATGGGAAAGCAATTTTAGAAAATCAAACATTTACGTCAGGGTGGTGTTCCCACTTAAAGACCGGTGACAAATCACTTGGCAGGCGTGAGGAACCGTAATAATTTTATGTTTGGTCTCGGGTTCTCAAATTCAACGTGCTCTGATGGATTCAAAGGGAAAGTCTCTTATTCGGTCAAGCTTTGGTTACAGTGAATGAGACTTTAGTGTTTTGGTCACAATGAACGAGACTTTCGTGTTTTTGGTCACCGTAAATGAGACTTTCGTTGTTTTAGATTGTCTTGGTTGGGTAAATATTGGTGTTGGAATCTGTTTATGCATCAGAAGAACAGTAATCCTCTAGGTCAATATCTTTTGTGTTTTTATTTGGCTAACATGAAAAGTGTATGATGATCGACGGTTGAAAAGAGAGGGATGGGTCGATGAAATAAAACAGGGTACATTCAGTTGAAGGTGAAGGAGATGGGAGTGACCGCCTGGACCTCTCGGAGTGGTGATGCTTCTATTTCTCCTGTTTCTCTAGCTTGTTTCTTTTTTAGTGGTTATTTTTATATTGAATTGTAAAATAAAAATTATTAATTGAGATATGGGACTTAATATCAAAGTTATCCTCATTTAATAATTATGGGTATATATTTTGGTATAATTTAAATTACATAACATTTTTTTTCTCTTTTTTGTCTGTTTTTAATTATTTTAGCTTTTTCTGTGTTATTGTTAACCTCAAAACTTTGAAATTTTTCTAAGTTTGAGCTGACATGGTAGACCGTGGATGATGTTTTTCGGTGCTAGACAGAGGACAGGAGAAATGCAAGTAGTGGTGAATGCTTGAGTTTGAGGAAGTGGGTTTTGTATTTTTCTAAACTGATGTATTTGGGGAATGATGATTGTCGGTGAAAGAAGGATGCTTCAATGGTTGGCAGGAAAAAATTAAAGGTTCATGTGTATGATGTGTAATGTAAGCCTCTCTTTAATTTGTTGATTGTTTCTGTTACTAGGCTATGCAAAAATTCTAAAGAGTCAAAAATTATTGTTAAACTAATTAGACTCCAAATTGTGAGCTTAAACGTCTTTTTATTGTAAAAACTAACTAACCTGGGTGTTGAGGCATGATGAGTTAGTGAATAATCTTTGATTGGTTAATTTAAAATTTGATTATAGAACTTTATTTTTAGTATGGTTAAATCAGCTAACTGATGGTCTTTTGATATATAAGATACACCTAGTATGAAATTTATTACATGCACCCATTTCTTTTAAATTGTTGCTTTGTGTTTACACCATAAATTGCATTTTTAGTAATGCCATGTGTCAATGAATGAGATGAGATCAAATCTACTGAAGGATGCATATCTACAAAATTAGTTGGGAGGATAAAGGTTATCCAATTTGTTGCAGCTTAAATTTTAAAAGAATAACAATCCCTAGAATTTGGGAGGAGGTTATTTGTGATTTTATCAGCCAAGAGACAGCTTGCAAGACGCATATAAATAGAAGATTTTTGAATTTTTTCAAAACACGGCCACCCCTACTAAAAACTTGCAAATTTTCAGACTTTCATTTTCTTTACAGTTGCTTATAGATTTCAATTTTAGCATAAATCCCGATAGATTTAGGTTGTTTTCAGTATTTAGGCACCCAAATTAGTTTGTGTAATTGCTTCTTTGATTTCCTTTCATGCAATAAACGTTATGTTTCCTCTAATTTGCCTTTCATTTAGTTCATTTTGGATCTCTTAACTTAAAGTCATGGTATTGGTAAAGTTCTTGAGATTGTTCAAGGCAAATTAACAACCCATTCTGCAGGAAGGCATATCTCCCTCTTGCAAATCGTCTGAAGGGCACAAAACTTAATCTTAAACCAACGTTTTTCCAACCATCCTAATGGAGGTCGACTGGGTGAAATGAGAGGGTTGTTGGGAAAATCCTTTTTTTTTTCTTGCTTTTCAGAAAAATAAGTGGCATGCCCGCATCTAGATTCTGCATGTGTGAAGCTACTTGAGGATTTTTGAGGAAACAATCTTTTTGTGGAATGCCCAATGGGACCCCACCATGGCTCACTGATAGTTTTTAGATCTATTTTTTCTATATAAGAGGTGTTGTTATGCTTCCACAAGTTGGACATGCAGATGACAAACCACTTCACTTTGAGGGTGAAAATGATCCCATTACTTTTCCCCCATTGTCACCTTTAGCCGAACGGTCCCATGAAAATCCAATATTCAAGGAGAAAGAGGTAGATCGTGGGAGTAACTTTGCTAAATCAAATAATGTGATCAAAAGCTTGACTGAATGTATGGAGTTAGCATGCAGAGAGCATAATCAGGCTATATAGAAATTCATCGAGGGTCAAGCAGAATCTCCCATACGTCATGAAGAGGCAATAAGGCAATATATGGTTAAACTGAGACGGGTTTTTGAGAAAGGCACAAGAGCAAAGCGACAAATTGAGAATGAAAGTCGTAGAACATTGTAGGCTATTTTAGATTAGGTGGTTGAATAGATGCATCAACCCATATCAGAAGTACCACTGCCAGCTTAGGTAGTGGATCCTCTCAAGTAGGTCCTAAATCCATCGGCTCCAACGCTCAAGGGGCAAGTTGATCAACCACATCTACCTCCACAGAACCAACTGGCAGTTGGTGGGCCAGTGTAGTTACAACCAATAGAGGTTGCACCATGTGTGGCAAATTTGGGAAATCAACATCTGCAAGAAAATATCAACAGAGGGACTCTACGGTTTCCAGAAAAGGCAAAGGAAACAATGGGAGTTGATGTAGACCCATTCCTTGACTTGTCCATCGGAGTGAAAGTGGCAAATCTCTGAAGCCTTATCAAGGATAGAAATTGATCATACTCTAAGTGCAAACTTACAGCTGATGACTTGAGATGGGTCATTAAGAAGGCTAGAACTCGCAAAGATCAAGCCAAATTAGACCCTCCACGAGGAAGAAGGCATAAGGGGCATGATCTGAAACAACAAAAAATTGGTCCAAGTCAGAGTGTTGTGAATTCTGGCTATGTATAACAACCTAGAATGGTGAAACCGCCGCTAAGATCTCCTAGCCAAAAATGAGAGCTAGTATGTCATCCAAAGTTCCCTAAGGCTCAGAATCCAAGAACTTTTAGGCGACGCTTACAATGCAAGAGAGCAGAAGAGAGGCGTTGACAATAGATGGAGAACTCAGGGGGCATGGGAGATCTGGCTTAATCGCTCCCAGTGAGAATGAAATCCGTTTGGGTGTTGAAAGACAAAAATTGGGCATCAAGTTAAACATCACCAGAAGATGAAAAACAACCCAAAAGTCCAACTTCTCCCCAAGTTCTAATTGTGGAGACAAGTGAGGAAACTGGCCTGAAAGCAACATTCAAGGTGGCAGAAGAAATGGAGAATTCAATAAAACAAGAACCATTCAATTTGGTGATTTTTCTGTGACTTTGTCTTGTTTTGTGCTTACCCTTTCTCTAGTCTTCCAAGCCAAAGAAGAACCAGAATCTACGAATTATTAGCTGGCAGATCATGTTGAGGAAGGAATTATTGAGATCCCTGTAAAGAAGGATAAAAATGAGATTTTAGTAGATAAAATTATTTTTGAGAAGCCAAAAGGGAGGATGGCTAGACATATAAGGCCACTATACATTCATGCTCACATGGATTGGATGCTAGTTAATTGAGTTCTGGTAGACAATGGTGCTATTGTCAATGTGTTACCAACTTGTATGTTACACAAAATTGGCAAATCTTTAAAAGATCTAATGGAGACAGAAGTGACAATCAATGACTTCATAGGTGGAGTAAATCGTGCAAGGGGAATTCTGCCAATGGAACTCACTATGGGAAAAAAACTTTTAAGTGTGCATTCTTTGTGGTTGACACTGTAGCCACTTGTAATGCATTACTTCAAAGAGATTGGATCCATTCTAACTGGTGTGTTCCTTCAACTTTGCACCAAAAATTGATATTCTAGAATGACGATAGAACCGAGGTCATGAAAGCTAATGATAAACCTTTTGTGGGTAACACCAATTTGATGGAAGCTCGTTATTATGATGAAGAAATCGGGACCATTCGCTTCTTTGGGATGGGCCGTAATGGTAGATCAGCTGAAATTATTGCCAATACTAGATTGGCACTCATTAGATGCATAGTGAAGAAGGTTTGTGATGAACTCCTTTGATCTACAACAATTGTTCCTTTTAGGCTAAGGGACCCAAAATTGAAGAAATTTCATGAAGAGACAGCGAATCAATTGTCAAAAGAAGAAGGTAGTGAAAGAAATTAAAAGGAAATTAGCGGTCTATTTCGCAAAAAAGCGAATTAGTGTAGACAGGTTTGAGGTGGTCCACGAAGGTGAAGAGGAAGATCTAATAGAAGAGGTTACTTTGGAGGAGTTAGATTTGGCTCTAGCCAAACTTGACGATCTAAAAGCAGAAGTACAAGATCCGTTGGAGGAGGTAAATTTGGATATTTTGAATTTTGGCCGACTCAAATTTGGATGAAATTGCATAATATTTTCTTTTTCCAATTTAGCATTTTTTGAGTTTCAATAAAGGTGTTGATTTGAATGTGTAAGCCGGCCAAATTTGGCCATGAGTAATCATAACGACTAAATTATGGCTATGTCAGATTTCAAGCTGCTCTAGATCAAGTATGCAATAAAGGCTATAAAAGAGGAAAACTGATCTTTGATTTTGGAAACTACGTCCAATTCTGCCTCTATATCTAGACGAAATTTGCTATGTTGTTCTGCCAAGCTCTTTTTTGTCTGTTAGGTAAGGGGAATCTATTTGTTTAGTTTTACAAGCTTGGGTTTAAGGTTTGAGATCTTTTCTTTCAAACCTTAGAGTTGTTTAACATGTGGCATTGGTGGCTGGAGTTTGCGTGCAATTTATTTAGTTATAAACACTTGAATTTATTTTCATAAAATCAAGTGTTGTGGGGCATTGTTTACACCATAAATTGCATTTTTTTTTTTAATAATGTCACGTGTCAATGGATAAGATGAGATTAAATCTACTGAAGGGATGCATATCTATAAAGTTGGTTGAAAGGATAAAGGTTATCCAGTTTGTTGCAGCTTAGATTTAAAAGGAATAGTAATCTCTAGAATTTGGGAGGAGGTTATCTATGATCTTATTAGCCAAGAGATAGCTCGCAAGACACATATAAATAGAAGCTTTCTGATTTTTTCAGAACACATGGCCAACCCTACTCAAAACTTGCAAATTTTCAGACTTTCATTTTCTCTATAATTGCTTATTGATTTCAGTTTTAGCATAGATCCCAATAGATTTAGGTTGATCTCAGCATTCAGGCACCCAAATTAGTTTGTGTAATTGCTTCTTTGATTTCCTTTCATGCAATAAACGTCATGTTTACTCTAATTCTCCTTTCATTTAGTTTATTTTGGATCTTTTAACTTAAAGTCATGGTATTGGTAAAGTCCTTGAGATTGTTCAAGGTAGATTAGCAACCCATTCTATAGGAAGGTATCCCTCCCTCTTGTAAATCATTTGAAGGGCGCAAAACTCAATCTTAAACCAACGTTCTTCTAACAATCCTAACAGAGGTCGACCACGTTGAAGGAGAAGGTCGTTGGCAAAATCTTTTTTTTATTTTCTTACTTTTCAGAAAAGTAAGTGGCACGCCTGCATCCAAATTCCTCATGTGCGAAGCCACTTGAGGTTTTTTGAGGAAACAATTCTTTTGTCACATTGGATTTTTGAGGATTTCATGATTGATATACTTAAAAGGATTATTTCCTCAAAAATCCTCAAGTGGCTTCGCAAATGTGAAATTTGGATGCGGACATGCAACTTACTTTTCTAAAAAGCAAGAAAAAAATTTTTTTTTCCCAACGACCTTCTCTTTCCATGTGGTCGACCTCCATTAGGATGGCTAGAAGAACATTGGTTTAAGATTGAGTTTTATTCCCTTCAGATGATTTGCAAGAGAGAAGGATGCCTTCCTTGCAAAATGGGTTGCTAATCTGCCTTAAACAATCTCAAGGACTTTACCAATACCATGACTTTAAGTTAAAAGATCCAAAATGAACTGAATGAAAGGCAAATTAGAGTAAATGTGACGTTTATTGCATGAAAGGAAATCAAAGAAGCAATTACACAAACTAATTTGGGTGCTTGAATACTGAAAACAACCTAAATCTATTAGGATATATGCCTAAAACTAAAACTGTAAGCAATTGCAGACAAAATGAAAGTTTGAAAATTTGCAAGTTTGAAAATTTGCAAGTTTTGAGTAGGGTTGGTCGGGTGTTCTGAAAAAATCAAAAAGCTTATATTTATATATGTCTTGCGAGCTGTCTCTTGGCTAATAAGATCATAGATAACCTCTTCCCAAATTCTATGGATTGTTGTTCTTTTTAAATTCAAGCTGCAACAAACTGGATAACCTTTATTCTCCCAACCAACTTTACAGATATGCATCCTATAGTAGATTTAATCTCACCTTATCTATTGACACGTGATGTTCTTAAAAAAATATAATTTATGGTGTAAACACTTTGATATATGAGTTTTAGTACAATGCGCTACTTTGTGCCTTTTTTTCTTCTTTTAAAACAAAAAATGTCCCAACAACCACCATAGCTGGCATGGAATTGGAAATGCTAGTCTGTACTAATAAAATGGGACAATAGTTTTGGATTAAAGCACAATTTATACAGAGGACGGAGAGATAGGTAGCTTAAAAAATTCTTTACACTTAGGTAACTTAAAAATTCCTTTACACTTAAAAATATTTCTGTCAATGCCATCCCCACTTCACCACCTCTTATTCTCCCTTGGAAAATTCTTTGCACTAGAAAGAGAGGTAATAAATCAAATAAAAAGAGTGGAGGATATTACATATCAATCTTGATTTTTAGAAAAAATTAAAGTATTAACTTTAAAAATACCACATCCAATTAATAATTTTAAAAATTAATAAATAAATTTAATGTTTTATTGATATAAATTATTTGTCAATTTTTTAGTTAATCTAATATTTAAAATCAATTTATTAAGAAACTTATATTTTTAAATAAATATTTAACAATATTAAATTTTATATAATTATTGAATTAATTGAAAAGTAGTGTTTTTTGAAGTTGAAAAAATGAGAATCAAGATTAATTTGCATTATTTTTAAAAGAATAATATATTTTTTTACAATATATTAAAACCTGACACCAAGTTTGTGACTCTAAAGCTAAGGGTACCATGTGTAGGGCTGAGAAAAAGCACATTCTTTCATAAATTTGTGTCAGAAAAACATTAATAAGGATTAGGGTTGATCACAATTCCATAAACTGGTCCTCTTCGGCCTAAGGAATTTGTGTCCGTAGAAGCAAGAGTGTCCATTATTTGCACGTTAAGGGGTATTGGGACTTCTGAAGAATGACCAGAAATACAAAGTGAACCGGTATCGTCTTGCTGCCAATACACCTCAACCATTACACCCCTAGGATTCTCTTCTGACTCTGTTCCAGGGATCCCCACAAACCTTGCGCCCACTGGTATCTACATAGTCATTGGATAACAATAAAATGACACATCAGCATTATGCTAAGAGTTTCCTTATACATGGTAATATTGAAACAAATATTAAGATAGATGCAGTTACCTCAAGTGAGTCACCAGATGCTAAGGTCAAGGTGACCAATCTTTGGTCAGCTGCAGCATTTTCCAGCTCTGCCTGCCTGGCAATGTTTAAGAAAACTTCTTCAAGTGTAGCAAGACCTAGTTGAATATCAGCTATGCCAAATTCTCTTTCTCTATCTTGCAACTCACTGAAAAATTTCTGTGCAAGTACAAAAACATATGGTGGAGATAAGAAAAGATGATTATGAAAGTATTTTGAAACCAAAGTTGAAACTTGAAATCATACAAGATGAGGAATTTCCAGGAAAATATATTGTAAGAAGAGCTTACCATCAATAACTTTTCTCTGTCATGAGGAATGACAAAAGTCAGGAATGCTTTGTTCTCCTCCTTTGGTTTTACATCCAAATGCTGGCAAAACATAGCCCTAATGAGACAATAATTATTTTCAAATTTATAAAATTTAAACCAGTTGAATCATTTAACATACAGATTTAAAGAACTGCTTCACAGACTCATGGTAGTGAGTTGTGGTGACTTCATCTCCATTGGAAGGGCTGAGTCCATTATTGTTTCCCATGAAACTAATATTAGTAACAAAACCTGTCCCAAATCGTGACTTTAACCTAATTGAGGTTCCAATGCATCGGAGTCTACCCTTTGCCATGATTCCTATTCGATCACTGAGAATATCAGCTTCTTCCATGGAGTGTGTCGTTAAGACAATGGCACGACCTTTCTTGGCATTCTCTATTATGTCCCAGACATGCCTTCTTGTTATTGGATCCATACCAGTAGTCTGCATATCATTTCAAGGGAATAAATATGAAAAACAAGAAAGAAGTTTTACAGAAATTGACCAGGTAGTCAAAAACTAGTCAAAACGCACCGGTTCATCCAAGATGACTAACTTTGGATCACCAATAAGGGCTACTGCCACACTGAGGCGGCGTTTCATTCCACCACTATAACTCCCAGCTCTCACCTTGGTGGCCTCAGTGAGTTTCACCTCTGCCAATGACTTCTGGACAACCTGGAATTTGAGCAAAAGAATTCATCATAATGGTTAGGAATTCAGAAACAGTTTGTCTATGAGTCAAGAAGTTTCATCAACATGGAAGCAAGCATCTACATTTTTTACAAGACTACAAAAGGAGGTGATTTCCTTAGAAATAAAGTTAAGCATATAAGATATTTTCGGTAAGTTCACTTTGTACATACCGACTTGATAGAAGCTGGGGGTAGACCTTTAATACTAGAAAAGAGCTGGAGATGCTCTTGACCAGAGAGTGCATCCCAAAGGATATCAAACTATAAAAATACACCAAAAAAAAAAAAAAAATTCAAAGTCATGTTCAGAATGTTGTGTCAGTGGAAACCACGTTCAATTAATCAATTAAAAATTCTAATAATAGCATACTTACACAGAGATGAAAGCATACACAGAGAAAGAATGGAGGAAAGCAGATGTTAGAACATCAGCGAAATGCACAGAGACAGAGACAGAGACAGAGAGGGAGAGAGAGAGAGAGAGAGAGAGAGAGAGAGACCAACCTGGGGACAAACACCTATAAGTCTTCGAATGTTTGACATGCCAACAGGGCTTCGAATGGAATAACCATAAATGAGTGCTGTCGAGAGGGCATTTATAAAATTATTAAATCTGTTGCAAATTCATTCTGACATATTTATAATTGGTTAGGATATCAGTGGAAAACAGGTAGAGAGGAGGAAATGAAACTTCTTACCATCTCCAGCAGTCACTGGTACAATGCCAGTCAAGCAATTTATTGCTGTGGTTTTTCCAGCGCCATTTGGACCAAGAAGACAGAATAATTGATTCTTTGCAAAGTTCACCCATAAGCCCTGATGAAAACAAATAAGAAGAAGGATCTGCTCAAAAAAGCTAGTTATGGCACAATTCCAAAGAGATATTGACAATATATTTTCCATCTTTTCCCCTTTACTGCTAATGGCTTTAAGTTATAAGAAGAAAAGGATAAACTTGCTGAGATAATTTAACATGGATGGTAAATGCAGATATAGAGGAACTCTTCTATCAAGTGCAACAATGATGATTTAAAGCATGAACTCTGACTCAACAAATTCCACAAGGACCCAAAGCTGACCCAAAATTAACCAAAATAAATTATTCTTTATCCTCAGCACCTTATTTGACCCACCTACTCCGGCCTAGGCCAATGTTTATCCACTTTAGGTAGAAAACCCAAAAAAAGACTGGTGTAGGTAAAGAATAGAGGATTCAAGTTTTTCAGGTCAAAGTGCACAATAAAAGTGCAGTCCACACATTGAAATTACTAAAATGTCATTAATTAAATAACGTAGGGAAGAGCTTTATTAAGGGTATCCTAGTACATTCATAGGTTGGACTGCACTTTTATTGTGCATTCCAACTTAAAAAACACTATTTTTTTTGTAAAGAATAACGTAAATTATATCAATTCATCAAACTCTCTTGAAAAAAGCCATGATAAAATAGGTTCTTGAGAAATTATGCAGATAAGAATATCAACTTTTGCGTTTTTACTAATTAAGGATATGAACTTTTTTCTTTACTAATCAAGGATGCAAACTTTCATAAGTTACTAATTAAGGATGTGTATTTTGCATTGAGAGTATTGAGAGTATGTTTGTGTGGACATCCAATTAATCCTTGTAGTAAAAGCATGAAGTACACATCCTTACTAGTAATGAAAGTTCACATCATTGAATCAAGTTTGCATCCTTAATTAGTAAAAGCGTGAAAGTTGGTGTCATCTGTACAATTCCTTGGAGGTTCATGCAAAAATTGCTGGACACAAGGTTGATGTGTAAACTATAGGAAGCATTATACAAGGTAAAACATTTGACATTTTTACCTTTTCAGTCAGGCTTCATAACTGAGGTCAAAAAGAGGATTTACTACCTTAATAGCATGGTATGGAGAAGTCTTCTTGCATTTACAGCAGCAACCAATCTTCCTGGACCCAGGATATGTCTTGGCAAGACCACGTATTTGAACTGCAACATTTGGATCAACTGCACCTTCCCTTGTTTGATGTTTAACAATGTTTTCCTCTTCAAGGACATCTTCATCATTCGGAGTAACATTCTCTACTGGTGGAATTGAAGTTATGCAACTGCACAGGCCACCCTCTAAGAAGAGATTGGAAAAAAAATGAGTATAAACATCCACATTAGTCAACAAGGGAAGCTCAATAGTGCAGCTAAGTTTTGGAACTTAGTTACCTTCTACCTTTCCACCTTTCCCTGTCCAATAACTTGGCTTCAAAAAGTACAGTATTGACTTTCTCACACCAGATGCATTTGGAATGATATTATCAAAGTACATTGCCAAAACAACCCAGAGGAAAAAGGTAGCCGTTAACCATTTGTAAACATCATCCTATCAAAAAGATAAGAAGGACAATTAAATATGGACCCAATGAGAATGATTTAGAATGGAAAAAGAAGTGACCAAAGAAAAGGATGGCCTATCTGAACTAATAATTTAAAGCAACTTGTCTACATAAGACATAATGTGAAAAAACATCAATGTTTTCCAGGCATGGATCATGGACATACAATTGTTATCACACATTCATCATCATTTGGTGCACATTCAGATCGTCTACTCCAGCTAACTCCAACATCTTGAGGAGTGGCGGTAGCACCAGAGAGAATACTTATAGATTGAGCAAGAAGATTAGGAGGAAAAAATGACCAGATGATTCGCACAGCATGACTGATGCTTTTACCATATGGAAATCCACTTATAGTTGCAATCTGCAATATGAAATATTAAAACTTAAAATAATAGAATATATAATTCTATTAGACGAGAAAAGAAGAACCTTGCCTGAGTAAAAAAGCCAACTATAAACACGGAGAAACCAACTGTAGTGGCTGAAGATGACTTGCCAATAAAGGGTGAAAACATAAAGGCAAAGCCAACCTAGAATCATCAGAAAGGACAAATCAAGAGTTAATTTGTAAGTACATGCTCAACTTTTAGCACCAAACACCAGAAATAAGCCTAAATTTAAGAAGCAAAACACACATTTATACAAGTAGAGGGGTGCAAATATTTACCATATTGAGTTGGAAAAGGAAGAAGAAAAAGAACAGAATTGCAAAATCATTGTGCAAGAAAAAATCGAATTGGAACATCATTCCAAAAAGAACAATAAGGAGTGACGAGATAAGTGTGATAATGCCCTCCCACGCGAGCCAAGAAAGCCAGTATGCAGAATCAAAAAGACCCATCATGGTCATTGCCTGTAGTGGGAAAATCCACGATTAAAACAAATTTCCAGCAGGAAAGTATAATGGGTATGCCTACTATTTAAACTGAGGAAACTGAAGATTGACCTGGCGAAGTTTGAGCTCTTTCTCCAGTACCAATATACCAATTTGAAACACAAAATTAAACTCAGCAATTGCAAGGAAGAAGGTTGGTGCCAGTACAGCAAACATGGACAGATTTTCCACACCAGGATGTGCAAATTCCTTAAATCCAACAGACCAGCTAAACTTTGGTTCTAAATGTTAAACCACAAAGTCAAAATGTAAATTTTAATTTTGTATAACCAAACAAAGAAACAGGATAGTCCCTTAGCAAGTACAGAACATAACAACCAGAACCAATAATTGTACCTCCTATCAATGACCTAGCAATTTCACGTTCAACTGCAATCTGAAGGGGAATCTGAAATTTGAACGTTGGATCTTCATATTCGCCTCGCTTTGCAACTGGAGTAGAATTAGTCTGTAATCCATAGCTAATTATCGAAGCGCTTCTCACAAAAAAATGCACAGCTCCAGGGGCTCGCAAGAGATTATTGAAAAGCCATTCATCTACTTCATTCGTTGTCCTAAATGATTTAACCTGCATTATGAATAGTTATGAATAGTAGACTAAAGATCTCAAGGCACAACAACAAAATCTAACAAACTAGAAAGACAAAGGAAAAGATCATCAAATGTTTCAAATTAAAATTTCCAGCCCTAATCCCCTAATTTCTAAGTAACCAAACAGAAAATGCAATGGCAGTATAAACAAATAATCTCTCAAAATCCTATCATGTATGAAAATAAAAAAGAGAATCAGCAATTGCAATTAACTTCCAGCACTATTTCAATTTCATTTCATTAATCTCAATTTACATCGTGAAAGGGAGAAATTTCAAAATCACTATAAAAAATTCTGTAGTTTTATTTTCTCCGTAACACAACTAAGAAAACAGCTAAAAGAGTAAATATAAAAACAACTGAAATTCAAGTTTCTCTTTCCACTTTCTTGAGGAATAAAACATAAAAAATCAGCGAAACCGCACAGAAATTACCTTGCTATCCGGAATCGGCCTTCCGGGATTATTCTTCATCATCGCACTAACTATGCTCCCAATCCTCTGGCTATCATTCCCGCTCCAGATGAAGTCGAAGCAGGGGAGGTTTATGTAGAACTTATCCTCGCAAGGAGGAATCGGTGGCGCCACCAGCGGTTTCGGATCGCGCAAGACTTTGTACGCCGTGGTGGAATTCATCTGAGCCTTCCTCGCCTCCTCGATTATGAAGATGAGGAAGATGAAAAAGAGGGACGAGAAGAGTTGCAGAAATGTGGCTCTCCTGCCCCGCCACGCGAGGAGGAGGTTTTTCTTGAACAGCGCTTTGAACTGCTGGTACAACAGCGGCAATCCGCCCAGCAAATTCATGTCGGCGTTTTCTGATCTTCGTTCCGTTTGGGGAATTTCGTTATGATTTCAGTTTTTAGTGGATTTATTTATTATTCACTTGTATTTGTAAGAAAAAATTGGGGGTTTTTGGTTGGTCCATTAATTGTTCGGTTTTGGTTTTGAGGAAACTTCGGTTTTTGCCCCCCCTGGGTATCGCTTGTCGGTTCTCAGTTTCAGGAAGGCATCTTCGAAGCTTACGTGAAATTTTCCTTTCCCCTTTCCCCCGTGTCATTCTCTTTGCTTTAAAAAGGGGTGATTCGCTTTTCATTGAACAGAAATTTTTTCTTTTTAAATTCACGTTGAGGGTGTTTCTTCTAGTTTAACTTTCTTAGGCAAATTTAGGTATTATCAACTAATACATGTAAGGAACTTAAATTCATTTGATTGCTCATTCGAAATATTAAACAAGGATATGACATACAAGATAAGCTTGGACTCTGTTTAATACTTTTGTTGATATAATTATAATATTATATAAATTATAAATTTAGAATTTTAATATATGGTATTAAATGAGTGTAATTGCACAAAATCAACCAACTTTTTCTTAGCTCAACAGCAATCAACATGTAAAACTTCGAGGTTGGATCTTGAAGTAAACACTCTAAAGTCTAAATTAATCTACTCAATTTGATGTAAGCAAAATAAAAGCTCTAGGTTAGATTTAAGTACTTGGTGTAATCGTGTAAGGTTTTTTAAGGGTATTTATGAACCTTAAGATAATATACACATAGTCTCTTTAAAGCAATAATAGGAGTATAATGTGGTAAGTGGAGCAAACATCTCAAAAATATAGATCAAATGATTGCAATCTCAACATGCCAAGCATACGATCAAGAGAGTTCTACACTAAGATAAGAAATGGAAGCTTGACCTTGGCCATTCTGAGATTGTCCTAGATCCTCTAGTTCACATGTATACTTACAATGAGTATGATATATTATTAAATAAATATATATATAATATCATAAGTAAATTTTTAAATCAATTACATAAATACTGCATAACATTATAATTATATTTTTTTTTGTTTGGCTAACTCATTGAAATATCAACTTTTTACCAAATATAAAATAATTAAAAATCTTAGAAAAATTTTATTACAATATTTACTAATTATTTTGATTATAACTTTTATAACTTTTCATATAATTCTTAATCATAAAACTTTTATGATTAATACATACTAATTATAAAACCTCTATGTAGAGATGAAGTTTGGGATTCAAATTTCTATAATATTTAGCTCTTACCTTTTCAATGTATGAAAAAACTAGAAGAATTGAATTATGGCAGTGTCTCAATCTGAATTTACTCGAAGGTTGTCAAGCCTTAAGCTTAGCATCATTTGAGTCATGCTCATACTTTGTTGATTCAAAAGTAAAATTGAAAACTTAATAAGTTTGGAATACCCTAAAAGGAAATGGTAAAAGCCTAGTTTTAGC